TCCGAGGAGGTCCGGCTCCTGTCACGGCGGCTGCGCAGGCCGGGCTCCGGGCGGGAGCTGGGGTCGGGCGCCCTCTGCAGGCGGGGGAGGCAGTGCAGGACAAGGGGAGCTCAGCGTTCAGCGGAAGCACCTGCTCGTTCCCTGGGTCCAGCTGAAGCCATTAAATTCTGAAAATTCAAGCTGAATGGAGCCCAATATCCCCAAAACTTCTCCAAAAATAGCCAAGGAACAAATACTTGGAAACAATATGGAATGACAACGGTCCCTGACCCAAACAGTGCCACTGAACATGACCCTGGCCCTGGCTGAACATGATTCTGACCCAAACTTGATCTCAAGCCTGGCCCTGACCCTAACCCAGGACCCTAACCCTAGCCCCCAACCCGAACAGTATTCACAATAATCGAAAGGTAGAAACCATGGAAATGTCCATCAATTGTGAATTCATAAGCAAAGTGTGGTTAAGGGTTTGGGTCTAGGTTCAGGCTCAGGTTTGGGTCAGAGTTCTAGATCAGGGTTTGGGTTTAGGATCAGGGTCAGGGTGAGGGTTTTGGGTGAGGGTGAGGGTAATGGTTAGAGTTAGAGTTTAGGGCTTAGGCTTATGATTTAGGGTTTAATGCTTAGCGTTTAGGGGATAAAGTTCAAGGTCAAATTTGGGGTTTGGGTTCTTGGCGGGGTTTGGGTTCAGGGCTCATGACTCAGAGTTCTGGTTCAGGGTTTGGGTTCGTGATTCAGGGTTTGGATTCAGGGCTTGGGTTCAGAGTTCGGGTGTGGGGTTCAATTTCAGGTTTGAGATTCAGGGTTCCAGTTTGGGGTTTAGGGTCATGTTAAGTTTTAGGGTTAAAGTTAGGGGTTAGAGTTAGGTTTAGGGATCACACATGTTCTTCAGTTGTCATTATGGACACAAAATTTCTATCTGAAATTTCTAAATCTGAAATCTATTTAGTCTGGGTGTCAGGAGCTTGTTCAGAATTTAGGGTCACAGTAACTGCCTACCAATGGCATTCTGATGCTGGAGTTTCTCAGTCACCCAGAAGCTGCTTTTCTCTTGGTTTAAACATACCCTTTGCAGAGAAGGGTGAGCTGGTGCCAAATTTGGGATGATTTCACAATGGTAGAAGTGTGAAACCAAATATTGTGGAAATGTTCATGGAAAATGAAACAGGAGACAAATAATTTGTCAACTCCTGATTCTTCCACAACAACAAAGACCAAGTTCCCAATGGAATCTGATAATGTTCCCTAGGAAGGACGATGGTACTCATTACCAATATCAAAAGAGCGCCCCTTCTCCTGGTTTAAGCTAAGAATCACAGGAGGATACTTCCTATCCAGTGTACAATATGTGGAGGCATTGCCAACATTTTCCGTTCTCAAATCCTCATCAACACACGGATAAAATGCAGGCAACACTGTAATGCACTGCTCATTGGGATACCAAGAACAAGGAGGGCTATTAGAAGTAATAAAAATATATCTACTATTAAACTCTGAAAAAGCACTCTTTATGGGCACTTAATGAGGATCCTTATCCATAAGATCTAACATCTCATCATATGGAACCCACCCATAAAAATCATCAATAACAATAGCCTGCCGACCACTGTAACCACCCCGCCATTTACCTATGGGCTTGTAATACACACTCCAACCACTAGAGACACACTTCTCAGCAGCAGCACAGGACTTGCCCACTCCGACATAAAAATCCCACTCCTTGGAAATCCCAGCCATTAGGACAAAGTCACAGAAACCACACCCACAACTTAATAAAGGACAGACATCTCGTTAGCCGGATGCTGCAGATCACCACCCCTCTCACGAAGTTACTCCACAGCGGACTCCAGATCTGTCCTCTTCCCAGGATTACAAGGTGCGCCACATTCTTCCAATACTCCACCCTTAGAACAAAACCTTTAACTGTCCTCATCAGTCCTGTGCGCAGGCTCACAGTGAGCCCTGCGAAAGCCAGACACCTTCTTGAGAGCACTCAGCCTCTCGTGCCTATCCTAGCAGATGGGGGTGCTGTTCTCCCCGACTTCTGTACCAACTAGAATATACTTGGAACAAATCTTGCCATACTCCATGCAAAAAGGCATGTTCTTCATCTACAACATTACTGACTATGAAACACCACGGATTCCTCGCACCTTCTTGAACCTGGGTAAATTGTAGATACAGGTTGGCCAGAGCTATTATCCCCAATCCCCATACCCCCCACACACACACCCCTACCTTGTGCATTCCAGACCAGTTTCCATCAACTTTGCTCATTCTCAGCCATTGTCTCTGCAGAATAGTAGAGTAGTACCGAGGTGCAGGGACTGAGGTGCTAGGTACTAAGCCAGCACCTTGGACCCAGGCACTACCAGCAATCAACACTCATTTTATCAACAGATGCATCACAGAAGACATTGCCACCACAGCAATTAGAAAAGTCATTACAACAGAGGACCTAACAACCTGTACCAATCTCCATGGCCCCACTCCCTGGCTCCAGGGTTTGGCTCATCCATGGGCATGTGACCTAGTCCCAGCCAGTGAGGTGGCAGGAAACTTGGGTCTCGGCCTGCAGAGCAAAGCATGGGGTGGACCACCCAGTACAGGGGCTTTTCCATCGTGACTGTAAAAGTAGCCTAGGCCAGGCCAATGCCAGCGCCACAGAGGGCCCAGGAAGCCAGGGGCTCGAAAACATTGCTGTGGGCTGAATCAAACTCGTCCTGAAGCCCACACGTGCTAGGTCCTCTCCTGACTCATGAGAACCATACATGTGCTCATGGTCTTGGCCTGAAAAAGATGACTGTGGTATATACCCCTCAAAATACACCCACTAGGCAATGGGGACATATTCAGCCAAACAATACCTATGTGTACTTCAACCACAGACAAACATCTTGTGGGAAGCTCGAGGCATTCAGATAAATGTGGGGGAGTTCCTGACGCCTTAATTGTTGGCCAGTCTCGCTATCATCTTTCCTTTCAAGTTTAGGGGCCAGGGTCAGGCAGGATAGATCCCAGTGTATGCCCACGCTGCCATTTGAAAATAAGAGCCCTCTCCCCCATCGTCCATCAGGTTGCAAATCTGGGGTGTGGGAAACTGCCACCCATGGGCCAAATGTGGCCTCCCCCTGTATTCTGTAAATAAAGTGCAGCTGGAACATTAGTTATGGACGGTCTGTGGCTGCTTTCAAGCCACAGTGCAAGAGCGGAGTCATCGTCAGAGAGACCACGTGGTTTGCAATGCCTAACAGAAAATCTTTACAGAAGACTTTACAGAAAACTCTGTGCCGATCCCCGTTCTAAAAGATAATATTATCATGTCACGCCTTTCACTAGAATGTAGCGCCTTCTGGGTAAAATCTGATTTCTTCACCCCCACAGGCAAGGACTTCCATCATTTTAGCCAGAACTCTATATCCATCCTCCTCTATTTCTACCTTTAATGGCACATCTACATGTCTGCAGCCCAATGGGAATTCACTGCAGTTTCCATGGTCGTGATGCTCAGAAACGGAGGTGTAAGTGTGAACGTGTGAATGTGAGCATGTGTTTACTCTTTGTTAGCCACAGTATGCAAGTAGAATACAATACAGTGGCATGGTTTCTGTCTCACAGGGATGGCCACGTTATGTGGTTACATAATGGTATCAGAAAGAATCCACCTTCACAGAACAAACTTCATCTGGGAGGACTCTCAAATCCCTTGTCCGAGGCACTATGCTCCCCCGAGGCTGGGGGCACACAGAGAGACAGAGACTCACCCTGCCCATCAGGGTTTTGAAGGCTACCTGCTATCCCAGGACAAAAGATCCCGACACCACTCACCTGTCATCCAGCCAGGCAGCTGTGAGAGACATCTACTCCTAGCAAAGGACAGACCGAGAGACAACACATGACAGCATGGTGTGACAAGCGCCACTACAGGGGATGCTCAGGAGGACTGTGGGTATGCGGGCTTGGCCAGAGCAGGGGGCAGGTGGCCCGGGAATGATCCAGGAGGATGATCACTGTTGTGTCCTTGTGTGGCTGCACGTGTCAGTGTGACCGGGCATTGGCCAGACAGGAAATGACAGGGCAGGGTTGGGGGGCTGTCGCTGAACTGTCTTCTGTAAGGCAAAAGTTTAGTAATGAGATTTCTTTCAGTACAATTTCATTTTACATGCTTGTATGAGCCCCTAAAGCTAGTTGTGTATGACATGAGGTCTGTAGTTTGCCGTTTCTTTCCAGTCTGAGGTACCGGGCGCAGAGCACTCTTGATATTTATTTTTGTGGCTTTCACAATATGATGACTTTTCCTGCTTTTATCTCCTACCCACTGACAGGGAACAAAGGCAACACAGATCTGCACACTTTGAAATGTCAACAGGAACCTGCAAACCCAGGTTCTCACAGGAGCTAAAGGTTAAGGACCAGGGTGACAAAAAGAGGAGGCGAAAAGATGTCATGTGTCTGAGCTGGCCACCTTCTCTACCTGTTGGAAGGAAGCCATGCCTGACGGAGGGAGCCACACCTGGACCTGGTCTCTCTGGGCTGCCCTTGAGCATAGCAGAGGATGTGCTGAGCTGGGTGTGGGTGCAGCAGGGAGATGGGCAGTTGGCCACAGATGCTACCTGCCAAGTACCTGTAGGAACAGCTCCTACAGGCTAAGGTTAAACAATAATTATGTTTAGTTACATATTTGCTGTGACAGGAAAGGTGCTCAGTGCTTTGAGTGACTATATTCTCTCCCGTTTTATTTTTTATTTTTTTTAAATAATTTTTTTATTGTTATGTTAACCACCATACATTACATCATTAGTTTTTGATGCAGTGTTCCACGATTCATTGTTTGTGCATAACACCCAGTGCTCCACGCAGAATGTGCCCTCTTTAATACCCATCACCAGGCTAACCCATCCCCCCACCCCCCTCCCCTCTAGAACCCTCACCGTTTTATTTTTTAGAAACACTTTACGGATGTATGACTGACATACAAAAAGCTGTACATAATTAATGTATGCAACTTGACCATGAACCTAACCCTAATATCTACTTAAGATATATTCGATTTAGAATATGGTTTATAAATTATATGATGGTTTTTAGGAGCTAGGGAATCCAGGGACCAACCCATTCTTACTCTCCCTTGAATTTGATAGGTTGTAACACATTCTGACACATGCTATCTGGAGAGTGGCCACACGGGGGAAACAGTGAGTAAACATCAGGGCAAACCCGGCCACAAAGCCAATTCTTCCTTCACCCTGTAAAACCTTGCTCATTCAATGTTTACAGATTATTCTATAGATTATTAAAAGTGTGACTTTGCTGAATTTTTTAAAAACCAAACTAATTCTCTGAAACTGTTAAAAATATAATATGTTTTAAAAAATCTCGGAGTTGGCGAGCCGATGAAGACCTAGGGGCCTGGGAAAAGGCTGTTACTATTGAATATGTTCAGATCTAATTAGGAAACAAGTATGATTTATATTCCACTTATTTTCACAAAGAATTTTTGTCAACTAACAGTATTGAACCCACACAAAATAGTGCAGTTCAGAGGAAAACAAAATAAGAATCAACAGCCTCAAGGGGCAGAGAAAGAGCCACACCCAGGAGCAAAGAAGGCTGACCACGGAGGCTAGGCTCAGGCTGATCTGCCGTCTGCAGATCCTCTGGAGCTAGAATGCCCCCAGTGCCCCTGGGGGTCGCGGGTCAGGCAGAGCTCAAGCCCTGACGCTGCACTGTTGTAACCAGTGACAAGTCTCCTGGTCACTTCCTCCGTGAGACACCCCCCACGCCCTGACTACTCCAGCCCGCTTCTGGGAACCCCCATTCCTCTTTCTGACCCCATTGTTTACTTTTCCCTTCACTTACACAGTATATAGTATGTTTACCTATATACTATTCTGTCATTTAAAGGTTTTTGTCATGTTCTCGGTGCACTGTACTTTGCATCATCTACCCTGATGTATAATCACTTGTTGCAGTGCATGACTTAACTGGGGACTAGGAATACCCTCACAGTGTCATGGGGCTAGTGTCCTGGGCAAGGTCCTCACTAGGTCCTCATCCTGTAGCTGTTGCCCTGAAGGCCTGATCCAGGCACTGCTGTTCTCATGCAAGTAAGACAGCACAAGGCAAATTAGCCAAAACCTTGGGTTTGGGTTCAGAATTGCTCATGGCCCCTCAGCCACATCAAATGGCCTGAGGGCACACCCTGAAGACACTTGCTAGTCCAATGTTGCCCTACGGAATTCCCATGGAACAGCCATTGTGTCAAATGGGGGAAGTCAGTGTGAGCAGGGAGGGTGGGAGTCAGAATTCCTGAGATAGAATCAATCTGGGAGACTGCCTAGCACTTAATAGGACTTCATTACATAGTTCTTGAATAAATAAATTAATCTAAAAACATTTCCTAATTTTAAGATTTTATTTATTTATTTGACAGAGAAAGACACAGCGAGAGAGGGAACACAAGCAAGGGGAGTGGGAGAGGGAGAAGCAGGCTTCCTGTTGAGCAGGGAGGCCAATGTGGGGCTCGATCCCAGGACCCTGGGATCATGACCCGAGCCGAAGGCAGACACTCAACAACTGAGCCACCCAGGTGCCCCTAGAAAAGTATTTTATTATTATCAAATAGTTTTCCTGAAGATTTAATTCGTTTCATTCTTTTTGTTATATATATTTTATTTGTTTGAGAGACAGTGAGCGCGAGAGAGTGGGCACACAAGCAGGGGGAGGAGCAGAGAGAGAGGGGGAAAAGCAGACTCCCAGCTGAGCAGGGTGCCCGATGCGGGACTTGATCCCAAGACCTTGGGATTATTACTTGCGCCAAAAACATTTCCTAATTTTAGAAATGATGAGCCTGAAGCTCAGATTAAGTGACTCAACTAAATTGTATTGGAAATTGGTGACAGAGCCAGACTGAGATCTGAGATGGCCTCCAGCATGATCCCCCAGAGTGGCTTTAGCTAGAGCCACAATCACCCATTTAACATTTCTGGACCCCCAGGCTCTCATGTGACACTTCATGTGGCATGTTCTGGGAACGAAGGTCATGTTAGTGTCACAGAAACCTCTTACACTGGTTATAAGATTTTGTGAGGTCAGTGGAGTCCCAAGCCATAGGCCATCTCAGAGTTTGTCTGCAGAGATATGGTTGGTGGGAAACCCACATGCTGACAGAGGGTAGAGGAAGATGGAAAAAGCAGAGCAAAAGAGGTGGGTGCTCACTTCACTTCTGGTCCAGATGACATGGTGGTGTCCAGCAGGAAGAGCCCCCCAAATTCCCCCCAGAGCCTTCACAAAACTCACCCCTAAGGTTTGAAGCTGAGCTTCATACACAGGTCATGAGCACTCCTGACAGCTCAAGGTAGGATGACACACGACATGATAAAGCCACAGCACTGACAGATGTATATTCATGGAGCAATGGATTTCTCCAAATACATTCTGAAAAAGGTCAAAAATTCACTGATAAAACAAGGATATTTTTAATTAAAAAGAAAGCCATACATATCACAGAGTAAAACTGGTTTAATTAATAAATATTTATTGAGTATCTACTTTGTGCAAATGTATAGCTCTAGTTCTACCTGGGAACTTGCAAAAAGCATGGGATATAATAAATGGATCA